TACGCTAATACTTAGAAATCTAACTATATATACTCGTAAAATATATCTTAACCCTAATGATACTCGAAAAAACGATCGAATTTTACGGTGGGTACCAAGAGATATTCGACTTTAAATTTCCTTGGTACCTATCGTATAAAAAATCTTGGTATCCTTCGATGGGTACCATTGAGCACATTAGTAGAGCTGACTCAAGACAGAATCTTCAAGGTTCCCATACTAATGAAAAGAATACACAGCTTAACTACGACTTGTATCTTCGGCATTACGGAGTCAGCATTTATCGAAGCCCTGTACGACATAGCTTCGCCCAGCTCCAAAATTTACTACTGGAGATCGATCGGGAAAATGGGTGGCACAATTACTACACCAGCCATCAGGACGTTATCGTTCGTAGTGCTACAGGCCTATCATTCTTTCAGAAAATAGTGGAACAACAGACACAACTCTTGCAGCATTCTAATTGGGCTTTTTACTTCTTCCACTATGATTGGCTTGCTCAGGTAAATGTCGATGTATCCGAAGATATTGGCCCATGGGATGTTCTCATACCTTACTAAGACTGCGACTACTACGCGCTTACAAGAATCAACGGATATTCTATTATTGACTACTTTGCCGGCTATTTCTACGACGTATCGTCATGTCTACCTCGACCTACCGCTACATTATTCTTCCCCCCTAACTCTTCGCAATATTCTCAAGTTCAGCAGACCTTAGCAGACATGGCACTCTCAAAGAGTAGGGATCGAGCGGTTAAATATACCTGGCAGGGACGCCAGTTAGCTGGGATCTCAGATGATTTCGGTGTGAGGTTCGACGAGCTGGTGAAAGCTGGACGCCGTTGCTACAAGATCAAATGGGGGACGACAAAGTGTGATCCGACAGCACAACGTCCCTGGTTTTTCTTTCTTCCTTGGTGATGAACTGAAGCATTGCCTCTCAGCTCGATAGCCGGACTGCTGTGGATGGCTGGACTGCCGTCCGTTGTTGCTTATTGGCGTTGGGGCTAGCGACTGAGCTCTACCATAGTAACCTGCGTCCACGAAGGAGGTTGGGCTTCTGGAAGCGGAGTGTACAGCTTGGGAAGGCGCTGCTTGGAGCTGGAGCTGGAGCTGGAGCTGGAGCTTGGGAAGGTGCTGCATCCTGTGACCGTGCCGAAGCTAGTCTAGAGAGATCTTGGTACAGTACAATACTGGCACTGAAGGCCTCCGCACACGGCTTGGACCGAGTTCCTACACGCTCGATTGCGTTTTCCCTGAGGTGATTCTCGCCACTTATAAATCGGTGTATAACTTGTACTTCTTGCACACCCAGAATTCTTCGGTCTTGCTAACTTCATCCTTCTCCCTCTTCCATAAGCTGGCCTGAATGTTCAAAAGCCCTCTGTCCGTATGCACAAGTCGGGCCCCCTTCTCCTTGGAACTGGGTTGAGATTTCACATATCTGAGGTCCTTGAATGGCGGCCTTGCGGCTGGTTTCTGAGCGGTGTTTGGCAAAGATTGAGACGATTTGGTTGTGCTGGACATCAGAGCCCGTTGTGATCCTGTCACTAACTCCCGGGGGCTGCTCGCTGAGGTCGGAGTCGCGCTAGATATCAGAGCGGGTTGTGTTCCTGGCGCTGACACCTGGGGGAAAATTGGATTAGACACGTAGCTCGTCGCCGAGGTCGGAGTCGCGCTGTATATCAGATCCCGTTGTATTCCTGGTGCTGACTCCTGGGGGGTGCTCGTTGAAACCGGCTTTAGTTTTGATTGTGTTTCCGACGTGGTAGACTTATGAAAAATCCTAAGGCACAACTTGTCTTCAAGAAAGAAATAAGCTCCCTCTTCAGGTGTTGCATAGACGAAGGCGGTGCCGTGACAATCGTCGCGAGGCTCGCCGATCAATTTGATGTCGTATGCCTGCATTGCGATATCAACTCCGAACTGCTTAAGGCATTTCTCGATGAAAGCTTTCTTGTCTGGCAGAGGACTCTTGCCCTCTATCCTTGCGTACACCAAAACAGTTTTCGTACCAGCCTCAAAAACGTGCTTCTTTTGATTATATTTCTCGGCAAGCTCCCTCATCTTTTTAACTAGATTCTTGTCTCCCGCCGCAGGGTCCTTGTCATGCGGACCTGGGTGTGGGGGGATATGTGCGCCCACTGAGGCAAGCGGACAAAGCACCCAGACAGCGAAGCAAGAGTTTAAAGCTTCTGTCCCTTGATACCATTTGTCGTCTTCGCCGAAGACTAGCGCTTGAACTTCATCCATTCTGATGATGGAGGTTGTGGGGCTGTCTCTGATATTTTTCCAGATAGGATGCGCCATCATTACTGGGGTACAATGAAACACAGAATTAAAAATCGGAAGCTCGCAGCTAAGGCTTTTATAGCCCCATATTGTAATCTCGAGAGGGAGACTAAGGAGGACAGCAGCGGTACATAAAAGTAACGGAAGGTAATGAAACGTGAAGAATGGAAAGGAGAACGTCGTGCGGGGTATTAATCAATTAGTGCGGGGTAAAGAATGGTCGACTAGGCAACGTCGATGTTTTGTGAAAGCCCTTTTGACCACAAACCGCAGCTTCTGTACTTTTTATGCGTCCTCGAATATATAGGAGCAGAGTCTCGGAAGAGCGATACGATGAACGAGGATATGTTCGAGCGAATGAAGATCGCCGTTCAGACCGACCAGCTCCTTGACGTCGTGGATCTCCTTCGGGAGGGCGCCAAACCAACGATGACCGATTTCGTCCAGGCCATAAAGAACAAATCCTTTCCGATCCTCGAACTCTTTCTGAACGACGGCTTCGATATTAATCAACAGATCAAGGATGACTATCCTCCTCCGTTATCGTAAGTCTATGCATTCTCGGCTTCTACGCGAGATACTAAGTGGTATAGCTATGCGCTGTGCGATATGGAGACCACGAAGTGGATGATCGACCATGGGGCCCTTCCCAATGCGCGCTGCAAATTTGATATGACCCCGCTGTCGATTGCCGCGGCTTTTGCGACGCAGGAGGTCATTCAATATCTGTTCGATGCTGGTGCTTCTGTCAAGTTTGGTCAGCCTCTTCACTATGCCGTGCAGCGTAGACGTTCAAAAGAGATCCTTGAACTTATCATCCAAAAGGGCGCCTCAGTCAATGCCGTGATGTTCCAAGATGACCCTGTTTCATTTTTACACTTTGAATGCCTTGGACTCGGCACTCCACTACATGAAGCTGCGCGTTCAAAGAACAAGGATCTAATCAAGTTCTTACTGGAGAAGGGTGCCGATCCAACTATCAAAGATACAAGAGGAAGGCTTCCGGAAGTGTCCATGTGAATATGCATAACCAGGTCATTGTTGCAACATTGGGAGATTTGGTATCCGCAAGACGCATCGTCTTTGGCGCCCGCTCCACTCCATGGCTTGGGCAGATGTCGGACACTTCGCTTCAATATCTTTCCCAACCCTAGGGTCAAGGGAAAGCGGGAGCAAGGCACGAGGGTTCGCAGGACATTCGGAGTGGTCCAAATTCCGAAATTCGATGGAGCTAAAATTTTGACTGTTGAAAGCAGGATAACGTCCACGAGGCCAAGGACTAAGTGGAAGGGCCCTCATTTGGCAACTGTGCTGGATGGATGGTTCCCTTGTCACATTATGAAGGCTTTTTGAAGAGGCCCGGGAGCCAATTGTGGATCACGGGAGACGGTGAGCCAGTTCTCGGCCAATCGGGCAGGGAAGCCAATTCTGGAGCAGCGAGCCCAAGTCTGGAGCGACTGAGCCAATTTTGGGGAAGAGAGCTGGTGAGCGAACCTTGGGGCCGCGGAAGCGAGGCGCAAAAGCTATGGAGTTCTATGCGGTTCAGTGTTATATATACAGCCACTTTTGTCCATTCTTTGGTGCAAATATACCCCAGCAGCTGTTCGTAGTGGGGGATAAATGCATTGGTCTTCGGCCCTGTGCGGCAGGAAGAAGACATGCATGAGTCAAAAGCACACCAATCAACGGGAGAAGGCTCTAGCGGCCAGCCATTGGATAAGTGGTGAGCAAGTTGTCGGGACAGCGAGTTCGTCTCCTCTTTCCTCTATGTTGGCCAATCGGAACAGGCGAATCAGATTAACGAGTCAGCTCCTTCTGGAGATTCATCGAAGGCTGTAGGATTATTATAGGTGGGAAAAGCGATCACGGTGTCGTGCCCAAAGCGAATCAAAGCCTCCTTTGGCCCTGATTCGGCAAAAAATGAAAAAGTGACGCGTAAAGAATCACATCGATCCAATTACTCGGAAATCTAGTAAGAAAGTGGGGCAGCTCGACAGAAGAGACGGCAAAAGAGCTCGAGGCAAACCGCTAGCTGCCGTTGTTGGCACAACGTCAGGGCCTTGTGTCGTGTCTAGACTTCGTTTCCGCATCATTTAAGGACTGGGATCCGGGCAGGATGTCGAAAAGGGTCTGCCCCTGATTGGTCAATAAGAACGGGAATCTGGAGCGGGGCGTGGCGCCTTGGATTGGACTTTGGATTGGACTTTAATCGGAGCCAATGTGGGTTCCTTTGGGCATGGACCGAAGCAAGGCAGATTAGATGTCAAATGGTGATTGCGATTAAGCTGTCGGAAAGTGTACACAGAATATTGTGTACCGCTCTTTTGGCGCTCGGGAGCTTCTCTTGACCTCCTCCCTGCATTCTTGGCCACTTCGCCAGGTACCGCTCTCCTACGGAAGAGGGAAAATGATGTTTACACTCCCCGGCACCGCTGACGATATTTTCCCACGGAAGCGGAATTACATCCCCCCGAATCCAGCAGGAGAATTGTAGGGGTTTCGTGCCAAGATATCATGTGTTTCGACATCGCCGCTCACGCCTTGCGTCGCGGCCAAAACGCTAGCTGCGCTGAATTCCGAGCAGCTGGGGCCAGTATTAATGTCCTTTTAAACCACCGTAACTATCCTATGTTGAGTGGGCACTCCCTTTTGATTCTTTCTGGCAGGGCTGAAAACATCACAGTGTCAGATCACTTCAAACTTCGGCCAAAACCCTGAGCGCCTCCAAGGAAGGCTCAGATGGCAGCCTAGCCAGTGCGTTCTCCAGCGAACGAGATCCTCACTCCAGGCAGACGAAAACACTGATGTATCCGCATATCAAGCGGCATCCCATATTGCTTCTGTACATACCGGCTCCAATACCTTCTCCTTGTTGGGGGCCTTTAGCAATCTACTCCTTGCCCAATTTGTCAATAAACTCTCTGACCCGGTTTCCGCAGCCCTCATCTGGTAGGGTGCTATGGTTGCCCTTGATAATATAGAGACTCTTTTTGCTGTTCAAGTGCTCCTGCACCTCCGGGTCAAGCTCGCCGACCAAATCCTCACCATCAGCAACGATGACCAAGGATTGATGGTCTTTGATTTTATTAAAATCGAAACTGCTTTCCCCAAATGGGAGTCGCTCTAGCACCCGTTTGATGGCCCAACGTAAAAACTTTGGGCCAGTCACTTTCTTTCGACCCAGATAAGGCGTATATAGACAAACAGCCCAAGTCTCCTCATGCTTCGTTGCAAGTAATGTGCCGATCGACCTCCCAAAGGCAACGGGCTTGTGGTCTTTGAATGTCTTGGGCAATTTGTTCATTGCATTTGGATCGAGAGGTTCTGCCTCCAGTCTTCCATTATTGTTTCGTACTGTGCGAGGCTCAAATTGAGTCCAATCGATCTCATTCTGGCCGATGATACGCTCTTGAATAGCGGCTGGTATGGCTTCTAGGTGTTTTTCGAACGTTCCCGCTTCGGATGTCGACCAGGGCGGAGAGCGATCCTCGTCGATGGTGCCATATCCCGGAAGATTGACTATAAACTTAGGAACATCCCCAAGCATAGACCAAAATTCGTTATATAGAGCGCCGACGGCTCTCAAATGTCCGTGGTAACACACGCAAACAATTTTGTGGTGTGAAGATTTGGGAGGTAGGTAATAGATCTTGACGGAAGAAGACCCTATTTCAAGTTTCAATAAAATTGGGTCTGGACGATCTGGATCTGCATCAAGGTCCCAATATTGGGGTCTGTTCTCGTAGCCACCCAGGCGGGGCCTGGCATTGAAAGATGCTGGTAGAAACAATTTTTCCGGCGGATAGAAGCCGTAAGCTGCGGCTAACAGGAGGAAGATTTGCACAAAGAGGGTGATCATGTCTTCGGGTGGTATTGTAGAAAAATAACTAGGTATGCACCACGGGGAATGGATGCAAATTTATATTGAGGCTGGAGCGAGGGTGGGCAGGGTTGGTGGCGAAGGGACGATTCAGCCCAGCATAGCCTCCACGTGGGACCAATAATTCTGGGGTTCGCCCTCTGATTGCGCCAACACTTCGTACCGCCAGCCGGTGCCACCCCGAATTATCTGGCGATAAGACTGAAAAAGAAAAAGTGGTGCGGCATGAAACCCCCGAGCCCCCTTCGCTTTAGGGTTGCTAAGCCCTCGATCTAGCCGGTTGCGAGGCATCCAGCGAGGCATCCAGCGAGGCATTCAGCGAGGCATCCAGCGAGGCAGACAGACACACATCAAAGGTAGGCGCGGACGACAGTGTGAAGGCCACACCCGACTAGACTTAGGATCGAAATGATAATATCTGGCCGTGAGACTCAGGACAACTGTTTTGAAGCAGCAAAGCAGCAATAGATGTCCAACCAGCGGTCATCCTTCAACCTGGACTATGGAACCTATTCAATACCGATGGTACGCGGCTCGAGCCCCTGAAAGCCCCTGGGGGCGCCCACCCAATAAGACTTGTAATGAACGTGGAACAAATGCAAGGCGCACTGCCAAAGAGTTTCCAGATTGACGATATCTGGTCCATCTTTGTACTAAACTCAGTTGAAAATGAGACCTATGTCTATCCGGCCTCGAAGGCGTGTCGCTCTCCAGACGACAGCCCGATCGGGCTTCCCTTACGATACTCTGGCCGAACGCCCCTCCGAAACTCCCCTCGCTGACACCCCTCTTGTCCACCAAAGGCGATAATAGGAATTCGGAGGTCTCGAGATCAGAATCTACACAACGCGGCGGTTATGAACATAATCTCTTAGAGGTCTACAAGCTATTGAGGAGGGGACAACGGCGGTTGTACGCGATGAGCTTGATCCATGAGGAAAGCGCGGCTCAAGATTTCTAGTCTTCTAGCCCGACTTAGCCTAGACCACCAACCTCCTCACCGAGCCCATACCGACTATCAGAGCATTTGACGGCAACGTGTGCCACCACACCCTCAGACTCGGGAACATTGTCGTCCTAGATTCAACCTTTACTTGTGACCTCTGAAGCCTCCTCTGCTCCGATGGCCCGTTTCTCGGTCTGGCATGTCTGTTTTTTTTTCCTCGCTCTGCATATCGTCGAGCAACTCGAGGGCGTGTGGCGCCTATACGCGTGGCGTTGATGCACAGCTCCAGCTCCTTCTGCGCATCCGTCAGCTGCTCCTCGGCTCCATAATCATTGATCCTCTCCGCCGCCTGGAGCAAGCGTCCCTGACGCTCCTTCTCGGACATGGGGGCTGCGTCGACGACGTCTGCGTCGACGGGAGGGACAGGCGCATCCTCCGTGCTATCCAAAGATGGGCACATTGATTCCCAGGGGAACAGAGCCTGGCCCGACTTCGTGGCCACATCGTTAAGCCTGGACAGCATCGCCGCAAGATTGCCTAGCCGCTCCAGGTCCAGCTGCGCCTCCTTCTGTCAACCCGTCGAGCTATTGCCCCGTACGCAAGCGCGCAATCGGCTGTAACCCAGCCCGGTGGAGACGGTCCAGCTGCAAACCCATGAATGTTGATTGATGCAGAGCGAGGATTCTAGGGACGGCGCTGTGAGCTCTCGCTATGGACGAGGTCGGCCATGCCGACCAAGAGGTTCCCCTGGCCTCGGAGCCCTTGCAGTGTGGACTCGAGCTCTTTATTTGGACTTGCCCACGTCAATGAGCGTGTGTAAGGCCGAGGCTTTCTTGTTGCCCACCGGACCGCGAAGCATGTTTCCCAGAGTTCTCCATTAATAACAGCGCACATCATGATAAAGAGCCATCAGAAGATCCAGTTCGATCGCTCCAGAGAGCCCGGCCAGCGATAGACGGTCCATGGCGGCGTCCATCAGGCATATTTGACGTCGCAAGAGCGTCCCCAGAGCATCCACGACGGTCGACCGGATATATTCGATTCGGGCTTTGACAACCCCGTTGACGTCGACGTTCTTAGCGTACAGCCCCATTCTCACATGCGAACCATTGGACCCACCCGTTTCCAGGGTCGAAGGGTGCGCCCCTTTAGCGTCTGTACTGTCGTATGATCAAACGGTGCGCCTCTTCAAAGTCTGTGCTTTTGTAGGGTCGAAATGTGCGCCCCATTAGTGTCTATATTGTTGGTATGGATGAAAGAAGTATAAAGACTTAGAGAGGGGAGGAGGGGGACAACATACATCGCAGGCTCCACTGCCCATCCAGCCCGAACCCTCAGTTGTCTGATTCCTCTTCTATCTTTGTTGTCGATAAAATCTCAGCAATGGCGCGTAAGTCCAAAAAGAGACTTCAAAATAAACGGAGGACACCGAAGCGCGCGGTACTGTCATCATCCCGCCCCAGGAGGTAGTAGCCAGTAGCTACGACGCATCATCAAGCTGACTGTCCCGACGCAGGCACTCCAGAGTGTCTTCGACTGCCTGAAGTGCGAACACCCGGAGGCTGTGTCGGTGTCGGTTCGTAAAAAAGAAGGCTTGGGCTCTCTCAGCTGCACGTACTGCAAGGCGCGGTATTCATGTCGAGTCTGCTATATCTCCAAACCCATAGACGTGTATTACGAGTGGATGGACAAACTTGGTACGTGCAGGCTTGGCCGCAGGGCTTGCGTGGCCGCAGCGTGCTAACAAATGCAGATGCTGACAAGACTTCGGGCTCGACGAGCACCACCACCGCCGCCACCACCACGGCGGCCACGACGCAGGTTATTCGAAGCACGAAGGCCAAGCAGAAGCCCCAGGGTCGCTCGTTGGCTTCTGGATCTTTGGATAGGAAAGAGGGGAAAGAGGACCTGTCGTCCAATGGAGATGGCGAGTCTTGTGTTGACACTATGTAGCCTAACGTAACGCGAGAGAGGCGACAATCGGCATTTTATTCCATTTCAGGGGCGCTGTTTGACGTGTGGCAAGGCAGAAGTCAGGTAGAGCTGAGAAGTGCAAGGCAGCTAGGCTGTGGAAGCAGGAAGTGCGAGAGGCAGGAGAGAAGGAAGGAGATGCTAGCAAGATGTCGATACGAATATAACTCAGCACATGGCGAAGTGACTACCCCTGGTGGTCGGCTGTACCTATTATTCATGCGAAGTCCGAGACCGAACAAGAGGGATAAAAGCTGGCGCGCCGGCAGGAAATCCCCGACTAGACTTCGGAGCGAAACGACGAATTCTGGCGTTCAGGATTTCGCCAGACTATCTTCAAAGACATCGTCCACAAGTCCAGCATTTTTCGCTTCTTCATCTCTCTCGTGTTGGTTGTGCTAGACGTCGCTGAAGTTGGCCAACCTCTTCGTCGATTTTTGGGTTCGCCCGGCATACCTTATAGTGAATTTTTGAGTCAAATTTCTCCCTGATTTTCGGAAACCTGAGGCCCCCAACTAAACCTGATTGGAGGCCCTGCCTTTGTCTTCCACTTTTGGTCCTGGTTTTGCCAGCTGCAAGGGTTGGGCACAGCTGGCTATTCCGTACTCGGTACGTCTTGGGTATATGCGTGTAAAGGTTGAGGGCAGGAGCTATCCGGACGTGGCCGTCGGAACTACCCTTGCGCTTTCTTTGAATCGCGTGCAGCAATGACTGGCAGCCTGAAATCTAGGAAAGGGGACGCAGCATGCGGTTGATTACTCCTTTGTTCTCCATCTTCTCGTCATGCTGAGAACGACGTCGGTGTCATGGTCCCCATGAAAAACGCTCAGGACGCAAGTACCATACAAGTGACCATGACAGTAGCAAATGATGCCAGATTCTTTCGTCGCCCGGAAGTAAACTACTGCGTGCCCGGAGGAATAGCTGGTGTCACGGAAGAGGATGACCAACTCATCGCCCAAACACTCTTGGAGATAATTTACTGCCACCTGGTAGTGTTCAACAATCCGACGATCCCCGTGTTGAAAAGACTTTGTTTCTTACGTCGAACCCTTGCTTCACAAGGTCCGGAATCTTGGCAAAGGGAATATCGCACCCAAAATCGAGAAAACTAACGGTTCGCAATCGCTGAGCCCGATGCCCGACTTCGATGGCGGCTCGTTTGAGGCTACCAGGGGGGCGCTGACAGTGCCGATATAGGGGTTGTAGATCCAATAAGGCGAACGACTCGGTGGTAACTCAGTCGAGACTGGAATGTACCCGGCGTACACTCGAAGTGGTTAGATCCCATTGCAGCAGACATTGCTGCAACCTAATGCTCCGAGCTGAGAGCCGCGCCTGTTCGCATTAGCCAAGAAAAGAGCACGACCGTCGTCTGCAGCTCCAGGGACTCAGCCCGATAGTCCCGGTGAGAGGGTGAAGGGTAGCCACATCGATAAACGTAGCCACAGGATCATTCGGGAACACCTACCCGTCTTCCGTCTCTTCCTCTTGCATTGAAAGAATTTCCATTTCCGCGACTTGGCTTTGAGCTCCCCTTGCCTGGGACGAGATTGTTAGTAGGCAAGTGTGCAGCACCTCTACAAGCCGAGACTCAGCTTTTAGCAGCAGTTCCGGGTCGCGATGGCAGATAAATAAATTCCGTGTGTTGCAGCTTTGCCCACAACCTCCACAGACGCATTAAAAGCAAGCGGCCCTGGATAGAGTCAAATGAACCGCCATCACGTCTTGGCGTTCCCCCTCCTTCGTTTCTTGCTTGGGGTGTTGTCGTCGTGCTCGGTGGCCATGGGACCTCGATCTTGATTCCGTGAGCTCGTTGACCGCTGCGAGTAGAAGCTGGTTGCTTGCAAGGCTTCCACGCCTTGGCTCAACGAGGTGCTTTCCGGGTCCTCTTGATACGCCCTCCGAGTCGCACTGAACGTGAAAGCGTCTCGCATGGACATGGAGGTGTCTTTGGCCGCCGGATCTGGTCGTGGTGTCGCCAGTCGGCTAACCCCCCTGCTCCCAGGTTTTCCGGACTGGCCGTAGCGGTAGTCGTTGAAGAAGCTTTCCCACGGTATCTGGCCCCTTTTCTCGTAGGCCTCGCTCGCCTTGACCCGCACGGATTCCGCCGCGGTCTTGAGAAGGGGCAGCAACTGTCCCTGTCCGTATCCCACCATGATCCTCTCAAATGCCTCCACGACCTTCAGGCGATCGAAGCCGTCGCCCATGAAGCTTTGATAGATCTGATGTCGGAACTGGAGCGGATACTCGGGATCAATCCGCGCTTTCGACACGGTGGTGTTCTCGGGCAGCTCCCGTGCCCAGTGGGCGCGTATTATGACGCCCTTTTCCGAGGCAGTGGCGGAGAAGACTCGGACGCGCGCAAAGAACTCTGTAGTTTGCCCGGCTTCTCTGAAAAATTCATAAATGTTATGGAGTGCCTGACTGGCATCGTTGAGAGCCTGGTGGAGAGCCGTCTCGTCGTCCGGCCAAAGCCGGGATCTTTTAGCCTCAACGAAGAAGAACCCAAAGGCGCGGGCGGCCTCATTATCGAGGTCTCGTATACCCTCGTAGCAAATGAGCCCTTGCGTGGTCGGAAGGAGGGTAGTCCAAAAGTCGGGGTCCAGAATCTCGGTCCTCCGAAACGAGACGCACAGGTCTGGCCTCGGCACCTTGGCAAAAGGGTTGCCCTCATTTTGTCGGTAGTACTTTCGTGTGGGCATCGGAGGACAACTCCACGCGGCTCCGACACTAAACATCAAAGGGGATGTTGTGGCTATTTTGTTTTTACCGGCAAAGAGAAGCCGGTGTCGGTTGATCATGGCCATCATGACCGTCCGCTGGAATATGGCTTCCTGCTGATTTTTGCAAAACCCAAGGTCTGCCAACCAGAGCCTGTCCAAGAAATCGGTAATGGGGTCTCCTTCCGAGTCTAACGTGGGCTGATATGAATTTAGATGTGCCCATTCGGGATCGTCCCATTTTGTCTCAGTGGAGAGAACATTGCGGTCGACTTCCAAGGTTTTCCTGAAATCTGGACTGTCAGATCTGATGCCTGCCATTTTTATTGCGGCTTCTGGGCCGAGGGTTGCTTGGATAGCTGTCAATGCGTCGTCACTCAACTCAGTTGTGTACCCGTTGCGCTGCAAGAAAGCTGTCTCGGCATCGGGTGGATCTCTGAGCCAAGTGGTGATTTCAGTCTCGGTGGAGCTCGGGAGGCTGAGAGTCTCTTCAGTTTCAAGATCGGCTAAAAGCAAGTCGAAATCCAATTGTTCTTGTTGTCCTGCAGAAGCTGATTCTATAGGAGAGTTCCGCTGGTCGATAGAAGGTAACGCGTTCGTGATTTGGTGAGATACTTCCGCTGCATGTCCTTCGTGTTTCCGTGTAGGTGTGTCCATCTCGTCTCCTTTTCCAAAAGCGGCAGAACGTGAAATCATCGGGTATGTCTCTGTGTTCTTTGAGTCTCCGGTCCTTGAGCCCTAGGCTTTTGGATATCCTGAATCGGTAGCCGCGGGGATCAGACGTCGCGATGGCATGTGAATCTCGCGCTATCAAATCGAAGTTGTGAGGCCTGCTGGTTCATAGCGATCTCAGACGTACATCGGCTTTTCTCTGTTTCCTAGCAGGTCTCCAGCGCTACCGGACTGCCGCAGGTGCGCTTTCCGAAGCCTATAGCGCTATTGTAGGCTCACTTGCAAGCTATCTTGCTCTGTGGGAAGTAGATTGAGGCTTTGAAGATCGATTAGGAGGTATAGAAAATATTTTCAGATGTAGGGAAGTCCAACCTCATTCTGTCACGAGAAGACATCCCCATTGTCCATTGTGTAACGGGCATGGCATCAAAAGCAGAATTTCACAAAAGTTGCTTAAAACCCAATGGATTTATTCTAGTGGCAGAGAAGTGAAACCACGCTAGTGGGGTCATGTTGACTTGGCAGGATCTGAGCAAGGTCATTGCATTGGTCTGTGTGCCCGGGTCTCTTCTCAGGCCAGGTCTGATCGTCTATATACAAAATGCTAGGGGCCAGGAACACTGAGTCCTGCCTTGCCGCAAAGGTCTTCTGGCACTAGGCACAATCAGGTAACGCCTGAAGCGCTGGTGGAACGAGATCTGTCTCAAGCGCAACAGAGGTCATTTTGTTGTCTTGGAGAATGGAGATCCCAGACAATGACAAACCGATCAAACTGGATCGGCGGCCGGCGTCTGTATTGGCCGTCCTTTTGGACCGTTTGGCATCCTGCGTGTCGTTGGTGATTACGGGCTTGCTTTTACGCGTCGGTTCATCACGCGCTCTGCCGGCGCAGACCCTTCCATGACCAGTGTTGGTAAACTCCATGGCTGTTTATTCCCGCATTTTTCATGCAATTTTTCCAAAATTACAGGAAGCCAAAGAGCTAGTTTATTCGCGTTTTCCTAGTAAACTAGTTCGTTGTTGGACCCTTCATGAGGTGGGAAAACTTGCTTGATTTCATCGCCAATAGTCCTGAGGACCTAGATATTCACCTGAGGGACGACTGCGTGGCGCCTTGTCATTGCCTGGTAGTAACGCAATCGCCAACGACTAGTGACGAACTGAGCACTCGATCAAGCCAACGGGGCATCTGAAAACATGGTCTCCATTTTAGCTGTTCAGGACCGTCATTGAGCGGACCCTGTGATCAAGGTTTACAAAATCATCCAGCAATCCCCTTTCTTGAGGGTGCTGCAGCTATACTGTAATGGGCTGGAGAGGTGACTGGGCGAGGCACTTAGAAGTGGCAGAGCTGGCCGTGGGCTTTACATTCCTTGAGCAATTGACATGCAAATAGTCGAGCACTGCTTCAGACAGAGAATAGAGTGCTAGTTGGGTCTCAAACCATCTATTCCGCCTCGTTTACCTATTCCTGCAAGCCTGCAGGGCCGTCTACCTTCTACGCAAGACCACTGGTCCATCGCTGGTGTGGTTGTTGTGTGTAGAAGGACGAGTTGCGACCAGAAAAGCGTTCTCAGTTACCGACCTGCCAGACAGGCCCCTGTGCGTTCTTGCACGTGCACGCCGAGTCCTATTCTTTCCTCGTACAATATATATATACTCGATAGGTTCCAGCATAACTAGACGACAAGACCATTGTATCGGGGATACTTCTGTGGCCAGCCCTTCGCATCGAGGGAGCGGCCACGCCCGTGGAAAATTGCATCTACACCACCGTCGATGACGAGGCTCAGGCAACGGCAGCAGGCTTAATACGACAGAGCGCAATCGTGTTACTGTGCAAATGCTTCTGTTTGCAAAGTCCCACGCGTAGGTGGGACACCCCAACAACGGCGCCCGGTCGTCATTGGCCGAGACTCAAGAAGTCTATCTTGGAGGCTCGAGGGATAGGTCGCGAGGCCCTCGAGCGACATGCATCCGGTTCTTGCTTTCGAAATCCGCGCTTAAGGGCACCCACGGACTACGCTTGAGGGACACCGTCAAGGCACATCTATGAGCCAACAGAGGACATCGGGGAGTTTGTCGATGGTGCGAGTCTCGATGACATTCCGTAGGGTCAAGAACGGCGACATCTCGCGGATTTTGGACGCTGTCAGGTGCGGCGATAAGATCTTTTCGACCTCCCGTTGATAATCAAAGGTGCCGTGTTGGGACACCCGAATTAATAGACCGTCAGGACATTCGTGATCGCTCTGACTGGCGAGTCTCCCTTGGGGGTCCAATTTAACGAGGGCGACTCTTTGCCCGGGCCTCGCATCCAGACAGCTACCCAGTCGTGGGCCAGACTCCTCCCGCCGTGTCGCCCCAGAAACAAAAACCTCAATCCGGCGGACCTCGTGTGCCAGAAAGGCCCAACATCAGTTCGCTGTCGCATTCACGCTCTCCAGTAATCCGAAGCTGACTCACTCGGGGTCACGGATCACGGCAGGCAACTTTCGTCGTCATCGGCGGTCAGAGGCTCACGGGACCTCCTCGACACGGCGACAACGGACGAGGCCCAGACCGAGGCAGGGGTAACCTCCTCCGCCAGATGCGGCCCGGGATGGGACGGCCTCTGAAGCGAACGTCCTCGCCAGCGTCATGTTCTTTCACGGGGCAGGGAGCGGCGGTCCCAGCCCGGTCGTGTGATCAAGCGATTATCCTCAAAGTCGCCTTGCACTTTGTGCCTCGATTCCCGCCAGCAAGGCGTGTTTGCCGATCTCTTTTACGTCGATATCATCATCCCGGTCGTCGACGCTTTACCGCTCCACATCCATCCTCTTCATCGTCTGCTTCATGCTCGGGATCGTCAACTGCGAAGATCTCGTGTTCACCGCCTCTATAGCCACTAATGCCCTTGGCGAGGGAATCGGAGAGCAGGAGAGGTAGGAACTGCGCGCGTCGAGAAAGGAGGATCTGGAGGTGTCAGAGGAACGGAGGAAGCTGTGATTGTCCTGAAAGATTATGCACCAAGTCGGGAGACATAGCATTGTCAATGATGGGATTCGGACGGAGCGAATCATTCCTGGATGCGGTCAATCCATCATCGCAATACTTCGTGTCTGTCGACCGGGTCAGCTCCTTGTTGAACCCTGCACTCTCAAGCCCCTCAACATTTCGGAGGCATCTTCTTCGGAAAAGCCTCGCTCGGCAATACTTTTGCTCGGGTGGAGCTGCACGATCGTCGACGCGTTCTGCTTATGACGGATCCGTGAGGAATCAATATAACGAGAGCACGAGAGCAAGAGGGCAACAGAGCCCGAGTGCATGAGAGGCCGCGGGAAAAACACGCGCCCGCTCTCGATAATGGTGGCACCGCTAGACCTAATCTGTGACTGGCAGGGATGCCAAGGACGTGTAATGACCGTCACGCTAGTCTTCGGCCGAAGGCCTTCGAACTAGCGTCGGTAGGACCCTGTAAATCACTCGAAGGTATATAGTCAGACGGTCCCCAGGACCTAGCAGAATTCACCATGTTCCTCCATTGAGTCACATTGCTGCCCGCCCGGAGTCACGTGCCACGCGCCAAATTGGGGAACCACCCGAACTGGGAAGGTGAAGCGGGATTCTCTTTTGCCATTTTTCATCGTTTTGGTCCGAGTCTATCGTCTCAGCCAAACCTATCAAGCCATACGGGAAAGCGTTGTATCAAAGAACAAAGAACGCGTTGCGATGGTGACACGCGGTTTCCACATTGTTCTCTGCGGCCGTCGATACTTCGTATATGGGTATGATGGTGATGCTTATCCCAGCGGACTAGGCCGAAATATCGTGGATGACATACCCAACGACGAACGACTTTATCAAGGTGATCACCTAATTCAGAGTTTATTTGTTGTGCCGCCCTGCACGCGGGGGCGTTGCTGACTTTCCACTTAAATAGACTGGCTTCAACGGGAACGCGAGAAAGTCAAATGCTATGTTGCAGATCTCGAAAAGACTGCTTTTACTGTGACGAAAAGCACGCTGGCGAAAGGCCGCTCCAGTGAAACACTGCAAGACACCTACGAGCCGACGTGGAGTTTGATCGACGGTCTCACATCGCTCCCCTCCTCGTTATGTGATGTGGAGAGACATGAATGGATATATCTCGTTGATCTAGACAGCGAGCTCTTCTCCATCAACAATTGGATGGTCTTCGAACTCGACGATATTCCGCGCGATCGTTGGATCCCAGCCGTTCTGCATGGAGAAGGAGAGGAGAGGGACGGCCAAAAGCGCGCTTTTGAGCTCTGCCCCGAGGCCGGATGGAGAATAGATCCACCCGATTATTTCCCCCTCAGCCAAGGACCTCAGCGAGACGAATACCGTTCCCTGTATCGACGGTACGATGTCTCAATAGTCGCACCGATTGAACATGATACCATCGGTGCGAGGACATCGTGGGGTCCATCTGTTGCGGGGGCAATCTTTCATCATTGAACAACCCCTTTTGACATCTGCTCCTGGGACTACCTTGCGGGAGCAAGCCATTCAAGTTTCGCGTTTCGTGAAGTGGCGTTTGCCATCATGTCCCTCGCGGCGGACCAGATTCGCTTCGATGGTCCGAGCCGATATCATGGCCCCTTTTCTAAGGCGCAGTCTCGGGGGTATCATACGGCCGATGACGAGCCGAGGCTGATGCCTCTATTTGGTTCCGGTTGCCACGCTGAAGGCCAGGAGCCTGGCTCTTCCCCATCTGAATCAATCTATTGGTTTGAAGGTGTTCCGATCAGTCTCGTTCCAGACACGGTCTTCGAGAACGACACCGACGCCGCCATCGCTAAAGCGGTCGAGCACGGGTTGGCCACGGGACGCTCCGATTTCCGGATGGTCCTGTTTTCCATTTGGCGTGCCGTCCTGGTTGAGATATCCACTAAGGACGCCGTCCACAAGATCCCACGGACGGGCCTCGTGAGGATTTGCGATCGCCGAGAGAACGGCGATCGTTCAGGATTTGCTGCTCTTCAGACGTTCTTCGCAACCGCGGCGGATCGCGCCCTTAGGGTTTCCACCGAAGGCGTATTTCCACCTGATATATACGGTCTAATCCTCGAGCATGCGGATTTGGAGACTCGACGTTCTTGCGCCCGGGTCTCGCGAACATTTCAGACGCTCAGTCGCAATCCATTTACCAAGTTCTCGACAACTTTCATTGGCGGAATGGACGTTTCAGCCGCTCACCTCCGAAAACTCACCGAGAAGTCCGTCGTTTCCAATTGGGAGGCAATGTACTACATCGAGGAGGGAAAGACGGCCGGTATCTGGTTTCCCATCCTGGGACAAGGGTCTCGACTGTCCATGATGACGCAGGCAGCAATCCGGCTCGTGCCATGAATCTGGTCCTCAGGTACAATCATCCGATGCAAGCCCAAAGCATTTGACCAGACCACTCAGGCAACCCCTCCTTTGGGCTTGTCCTCCCCTACGACTGTCCATCTTCCTCCGACATTTTGGTCGCTTTCTGAGGCAAACACCCACGAGGCGTCCCAGGACCGTCATATGCACCGATCCTTGGGAGGGAATTGCCAAACCATTCGTTGGAATGATGTGGTGCGATTTTTCATCCTCTGAGATCTCGATTTGTACACCACCCGCCACTGTAGTCGAACCGTTCAACCGATTATTGCAAGTCAAGGGAGAGTTAATGGAGTTCCGATGAGGAATGTCGGCCCCCCTCCCCTTCTGCGACATGCTCGTCACTGTTTTACAGCAAAATAAGCGACATTGTAGTAGTCGGCGAATCCAGATGTTTCTAGTGATCGCTACCAGTTGGAGCAACTCAACGAGACGAGTCTAGTGAGGGGGGCATCAATGCTAGAATTGACGTAGGAAGGCTTACAATTGAAATGAATTTCATATTCTCAACTGATGACTATGGCTTGCGCGTTTGAAACCTGATAGAGATTAGGGATCAAGAAGGGCTAATCGTCGTCGGGGTCCATTACCCAGCTCTCAGGATCGGACTTGGATTCACTCGCGCCAGTTGTATGATTTCGGATAGTCTCTGCGGTGTCGAGGCTGGTTGGAAAAGGCTTCGTCCGGGACGGGACTGCGGTGGTAGCATCGTTAGGGTGCATGTCGCTAGGGACCCCCGTCTTTGCTGCAGATTTCTCGAGAAGTCTCTGGAGAGACTTCTCGAGACCAGTTTGGAAATCGAGCGTGGCTGAGAGATAGGTGTGTTCGGGTTCAAGTACGCTGACCGGGTCCTTCATATCGATATCTTTCATCCTGTTGGCGAGTTCGCCGAACACCACCATCACATCGATGAGGATTGAAACTGGCTCTTTCATAGATTGGAGTTCCGCAATATCAGCTTTCATGTCGGGCCCCGAACATCTAGAGCGCTCTATATCCGTTTCCTCGGTTTTCTTTTCGATGTTGTGGTTGAGGTATTTGTCTTGCAGTGATATGCTCTCAATTGCATGGTTGTTGTCTTTGCGAAGGTTCAAAAGGTCTCCCGTCAAGTCTAGAAGTGTTGCCTTCAGGGTTGCGATATTTTGTAGAACGAGCGAACCGGAGACGCTCGACTTGAGTATTTCTGCTCGGCAGTGTTGTGAAAATAGATTTCATAAATACAGCGTCACATTCCTGACCTGTTTATTTCAGTATTATAGATGTAATCTTTCCAAAGTTCCTGGGA